TATTAACAGTAAAACTCTTTTTTTTTTCTTTTTTTATTCCAAGAGAAAAATAGAAATCGTCAAGGTCCACCTAATGGTCCCTTTCTCTACGGAGCTTCATCGCAGTTTCTTTTGGGGATGAAATTTGAGTAGAACAACCGTAATCAGCTTCAGCCACATTGCTAACCTTCTGTTGTTCCCGCCAATAGGAATTCCCAAATATTTGAATGGGAGTTCCCCTTCTTTGCAACACAATCTGTATACCATCTTAGCTCTCCAACTCTCCTCTACCCTTACCCCCATTAATTGGCTCTTCCCGAAATTGATCTTAGCTCTCCAACTCTCCTCTACCCCTACCCCCATTAATTGGCTCTTCCCGAAATTGATCTTTAGACTTGAAGCTAGCTCAAAAATTCTCATAATACCCTTGACTATCCAAATGTTATCATTCGTTGCCTCTCCAAAGAGTATGGTATTGTACGTGTCACTTTATCACCTCCCCTCCCAACTGTCACTCCCTTATATAAGTCCTTTTCCACTGCAGAGGCCACTAGACCATTCACAACTTCTGCCACGATCAAGAATAAAAATGGCGATAGCGGGTCACCTTGTCATATCCTTTTGCTAACCGGAAATTGCTTCATTGGGCTGCCATTAATGAAAACAGAAACCGAGCTTGATCTTAGGCACTCTTGTATCCATTTCCTCCAAATTACATTAAATCCCATCCTCATCAACATATAATCGATAAAATCCTAGCATACCTTGTCATATGCTTTCTCAAAAGTCAACTTTGAAGAGAAAACATTTCTTTTTCTTCCTTTTAACCTCATCAAGATGGATGATATTGACAGGTACTTTGGCATTTATGAGAATCTGAAAGGAGCAAATCTGGAGCCAGAGGATGTGGCAGCGTCAGTGCTTTTCTTGGCGAGCGAGGAGTCTAAGTATGTGAGTGGGCACAATATGATCATTGAAGGAGGCTTTACCATCACCAATTCTGGTTTCTCCATTTTTGGTCAAGATGAATGAGTGATTTATTTTGCTCTTCTCCACTAATCTATGGATAAAATAAAATAAATAAAATCCGAGTCGTTTTATC